GTGGCCTGCTTTGCAGTGTCAAAGAAGGCACACGTACCCCAAAATGAGGACAAAAATAGACACAAATCTGCACATGCTACTTCATATGTGCACTTGCACATTTAGAAATCATTTCCGTAATTTAAATAGAAAAGCGGCCTATCTGCCTTTTCAATTTGCTGTCCAGGTGCTAACCATTGATGAGCATCTTCAAGGCTCCTGCTCTCCCTTCTTATATGCTTTTTAAAAATAGACTTCAGTAGGCCAGCCCTTCAAACAGAGAATGATTTCAAAGACTGATTTCCTGATAGCCCTTTCAAAGAGAGCAGTGCCACCTGTAAAGGTTGACACACATGGCCACCCTAGCTATAAAGCAATACTGCTGTGTTATCCACCAGCAGACTTTGTGCTGTAAAGCAAAGAGGTGGAACCTCTTGAAGTTGTTGGAGCTATTAGCAATGCTGTCTGGGGGGCTGATGGGAGCTGCAGTCCAACCACATGTGGAGGGTCAAGCTTCCCCAGGAGATCTGAACATACCTGGGTTGCTGTCTACACTCTACCAGCACTGCTCCTAAGCTTAATCTTCAGATACTGGCTGCAAAAGGTAGATCCTGGCTATGTGAGTTGAATGCCGAGCCAATGTCCCTACTTTTCTCACAGAAAACAAAGACTATATTTGCTGTGATTTGACAGAGGCCAAAGACTGTAACGAGGGACGTGGGTGGCGCTGTGGGTAAAAGCCTCAGCGCCTAGGGCTTGCCGATCGAAAGGTCGGCGGTTCAAATCCCCGCGGCAGGGTGCGCTCCCGTTGCTTGGTCCCAGCGCCTGCCAACCTAGCAGTTCGAAAGCACTCCCGGGTGCAAGTAGATAAATAGGGACCGCTTACCAGCGGGAAGGTAAACGGCGTTTCCGTGTGCTGCGCTGGCTCGCCAGATGCAGCTTGTCACGCTGGCCACGTGACCCGGAAGTGTCTCCGGACAGCGCTGGCCCCCAGCCTCTTGAGTGAGATGGGCGCACAACCCCAGAGTCTGTCAAGACTGGCCCGTACGGGCAGGGGTACCTTTACCTTTACCTTTAAAGACTGTAACAGCAGAAAAATCATTTAATTATGAGAAGCCTCTTCTAAAACCAGAGATGCAAAAGGGTGGGGGACAAATGGGATTCCCCCCTTCCTTTTTCCACCCTTCCTAGCACCCATTTTTTATGACCCTTCATTTCATGGATTTCCATTTTTCCCAATTGCCATCTGTCAGCCACATGGAATGACGGCAGACTACAGGTCAGGTGGCAACCCTGGAGCCTCAGGCCCACAAATGCTTGTGGCTTGGACTCATCTGCGACTGGATCTCTGAACTTCTTTTTTAAAGCAGCAACAGGCTTTTGATTAGCGGCCCTGAGGAAGGGTTTGATCCTTTCTCTTCCTGCCATTTCCATGACATAAATCCTTCCCCTATTTTCTCCACTGGGAGGCTTGATGGCATTATCCCACACTGTCTAGGGCATTTCCCCATCACTTTCCTTATCACAAAGTCTGGTCTTTGGGGGAAGTGGGGCTTTTTTGTGTGTAAGACCTCCCTATCAGCTGTAACGGAGAAACCTGGATTTGCTGGCATGTGATTGAATCTCACCCCTCAAATATTTGCAGTCTGGATGCACCCTCAGTCATGGATCTCCCGTGTCGCATTGTAATGTTAACAAATTTAAAATGGTAGTTATTTCTATATTCCAAAGGATTTGGAATACCTGGTTACAGAGGCCTATCAATCATGCAGACTTTCCCCAGGAACAACAAAACAGCTTTGTGGTTAGAATACGTAGCCCTTTAAGGAATGTGGCATGGAATAATAGTCTTTCCAAAACTGAATCACATTTTTCCTCAGTGAATTATTCACTGAATGGTGACGTACTTCAGCATACCCCTCTGGGCTAGAGGGGAGCCCTTTAAATTACTTTTGGATCCTCTTCAAAAACCACCGAAGAAGAGCTGTCTATGGCCTCCGCTGGGGAATTCCCCATCTCCTAAGCTAAAAGTAAGCTTAGGCGTGCCTTCTTCCTCACATTCGATTAAAGCACCCCGAAAGGATCTTTTGGACCCCCCTCTCTTACTTATCTGAGTGAGTAGTCAAAGAAGACATTTTAACTCCTTATTTTGGATATTGTGGGAGTTTGGGAGGGGGTTACGTAGCTTGTGGTATATAGCTCAGAATTTGATCACAAGAAGCTGAAATCTCTCTCTACTCCCTGCTGGCTTCCCACTCCCAGCTCGTTAGCTAGAAGAACGTATACTGTTGGTTCTGTGCCTCTGACCTAGTATAGGAAACACATCATATGAGAGTCCATGTTTATAGAACAGACTATCTGGAAGGTGATGAAATGTCCTTCATTTGAGGTTTTAAAGCAAAGGTTGGGTGTCCGTCTCTCATGGATGCTTTAGTTGAGATTCCTGCATTGTAGGTGACCATCGGGGTACCTTCCGACTCTACAGTTCTGTGATTCTGTGATTCTATGAACAAACCAATGTTTATTTGAGCAGCCTTGGTGATGTCAAACTGGCCAGCTGGTCAGCTAAAGAGAAGGGGTTTTTTTGTCTACTTTTTTTTGTCTATGGCACAAGCATGGGGAATAAAAAGAGAATCTTGATAATCACTGGGTTGGAATAAAAGGAAGAGATGAGAAGAGATTTACTGGTGGGTCTAAAAAACACTCTTGGCTCTGAGAAGTGCAAGAGGAACTCATTAATTCATGTCTCATGGTTGAAGGCTCCCCAAACAGGAGCTTGACCTACCTGCATAGCTTCCAGCCCATGCTTTTAAGATCTGCCCTCTTCATGCAGCCATTGGTGGAAGGTAGTCTTTCAAAATCCTACATCAAGCTTCTTGGTAATGTCCCTCACCTATAGCACTGTCCTTCCTGACTGAGATTTGGTTGTCTTTTCACATTTGTAATGTTAACGGTGTTCTCGAAGCTACAAACATGAGTCTGACCAAACTGCGGGAGGCAGTGGAAGACAAGAGTGCCTGGCGTGTTCTGGTCCATGGGGTCACGAAGAGTCGGACACGACTAAACAACTAAACAACAACAAATGTTAACATAAAATATATTCAGCTCAGCAGTAGTTGCCTACACTTTTCAGTATAATTTATTATCCTCTGAATTGTATTTTAAAGTTTGCTACTGGTCGGAATTTCTGTTACTGTTTTATGATATTTGTATATCGTTTTAAGATTGCTATGATATGTCCTGCACTCTGGCAAGAAGGGAAGGGTAAAAGAATTGTGCAGGGAACCTACCCACACCAGCATCAATCCAGCACTGAACATTATTAATGATAAGCAACATCTCCTGCTCTGAGAGGAAAAGAGGATCCAAATGGCAGAGAAGAACTGACAGCAGTTCTTGGCCAAGAGGACCGACTCCTCTTCCTCCTGCTATTTCCATTGACCAGGTTGTGTATGTATGAGAAAAAGCTGCTTGCTATACAGTTCTAAGGTTGATTTTCTAATATAAGTACTATACTCTTTTTCAAAAACCCAACACGAGAACCACGCCCCATTTCTCACCACCATTTTTCATGACTTCTCTCTCATCCATGCATATAATTTAGAAGCTGGGTGCTCCTCAGGTGACCAGATGCCATGCAGAGGGCAGGGCTCCTGCACCTCCAACGGGTTGTGCAAATGAGGAAAGTTCTTTGGACACCACTTTCCCAATCCCTGCACCACATGATAAAGCAGCACTGCCAAAATTCCTTCTTCTATGCAACTCTTAAATGTGCAGAAGCTCCCTTCTCTCTGCGGCCAGGCAGATTTTTTTTAAAAAAAGAGACAATGGCCAGCAGATCATCTACGCCCCGCCCCACCCCCAGCTACATCTGGTTGCAATGCTGCTTTTGGACGGGGGCTAATGAAAACCTTGCTCCAAAGATAAAGTGTGTCTGGGGCACTGTTTAGTTGACAGCATGGAAAGGCAGCCCTGCCAAGCCTGTAAGAACCAGCTTATTACACCTGTTATAGGCCTAGATAAATACCCTTGCAGTAAGGCTCACCCCCCCAAGGGCACCCCCATTTTATTTCATGCTCGTTTTGGAGGAGGGATCCTGTGGAATCTGGAAGCTTACTTGAGTTCATTTTTAGCCACTAGTGTGGTATAAACACTGACAACTGGGAAACACTGGTCTGCGAGAACAGTCTTTACCAAAGGTGTCATGGGCTTTGAAGACGCTCGAACTCAGGAAAAAAGCGAGAAACACGCTAAGAGGAAGGCACGTTTGGCAAACCCCTGTGATCAACTCTCGCCTGGAAACCTATGACCCCACTGTGGAAGGACGTGAGGATCTAGAACTTATGGACTCACTGTTAAAACTGTGTTTATAGCAGCTTACTCGGCAACGAGTGGTGGCCCTCTTGCTCTGCAATTCCTCTAAAAAAATCGAAGAAAAATCTCAAGACTTCTTTCACTGGGCCAAGGAAAGCTTTGTTTTTAAAAAGGAAACGGACTATTTTATATAGAGAGCTTCCATCGAATCCCCCGACCACCACCTGGGGGAAGGACAGGCAATTGCACAGCTTGCTCATTAATTATTATTATTTATTTCCGCACCGTTTCTATTTTTAAGGGGGGGGGGAATCACAAAGCAGTTTACAACCTGCATTAAAACATCCAAAAATAAAATAAAAAATCCAGAAGAAAACATTGCAGAAGAAAGTCAAATATAAGAGAAAGCCCGTTCCACTCCTAAATCAGCAACCTACGGGATCAGGCTAGAAAGCGACCTGCCTAGCAGTTGCCCTGGTCGGCGATGCCAGCTAAGCTCGCCCGCGCGGGCTTTCCCCTCGCCCCGCCGCTTCCTTTCTTGGGCTGGCGGCTCCCTTAGCTCTCTTGAGGTTTTTCGAGACGCCGTCCGTGCGCGCGGGGGCGGTTGGGAGGAAGCAGCTCGCTGATTAGCCGCTCGGCTTATCAATCACGCGCCGGGGAAATTCCAGAGGGGCGGTCCTTCTGACTCACGCTTCCTTCCTCAGGAGAGAGAGAGAGAGAGGAAGCGGAGCGCGAGGGGGGAGGGCGGGGGGAAAGGGGAGATGCCCGCGGCTCAGAGCCCACTAGATCCGGGAGCTGATTGGGTCCCTGTCGCAGGATCTCCCGCAGGTAGGATCGGGGCACCCATTACCCCAAGCCAGCCTCCTTTCTCCTTTCCTACGGGGAAAGAAACGGCCCCCCCACCTTCCTTGTCCCTGTGGGGACAGAAGGGATGCTTTACGCTTAAGGTCGGAGGGGATGGATGCTTAGCAACGGGCTTGTGGCGTTTTCCTGTGAGGTGGGCGACCAAATGGTGCGCCTCCTCTTCCACAGTTCCTTGTGCCCCAGAACTCCGGTCCTGGAAAAGCAAATGAAAATAAGGTCAGCCCACCTTAAGAACGGAGACCCCGCTCCCTAAAGCGGGGAGGTGTCAGGGGTTGAAGTTCTGTAAAAGTTGAGACCCCGTTTCTCCCAGTGCCTGGTGGGTTCTGTGTTCCGTGAGAGGAGTCCTTTGCAACGTTCACAACAGGACGCAGGCACAAGTGGCTGGTGCAAGGTTTCAGAAACGCACCTGTGCGCTGTGTGTATCTCCTTTGGAGTTATCAACAGGGAACCTGTCACACACTCCATAGTGCTGGATAACAAACGCGATTTTTAGCTGAAGGGTTTATTGCCCCTGTTTTGTTGAATTGACTGAAGGGTTTCTTTCTTTCAAGGCTCTCTACAGTGGCAGTAACAGAATGCTCAGGTCATGTTTGCCGGATAGTGATTGTTAAAGGAGGTCAGATCCAGGGTCGGATTTAGGTTTGATGAGGCCCTAAGCTACTGAAACTAATGGGGCCCTTTAGAAGTCCATCTGTCTTTTGTCAGCAACAAATTGTCGCTGTTTTTTGTGTTGAATATATGCTATATATGGTAATTTATGGACCTAATAGGTATCTAAAGCCATTTGCACATAACAAAATATGTATTTTATCGAAGTAATTGTTGAACTGAAATACAATTAAGTAGTATGTTAATAGTGAAATACAATTAAGAAGAAATATATTAATGGTGAAATAATTATTAAGCTCTAACTTAAAATGATATTTTATTCATAACAAACAATCGTGCAAACACATGGGCATTGGGCAATAACAAAAGTTCCTTTAGAAACACAATTTTCAAAGACTCATAATCTAGTCTCTAGAAACTTGCTATAACATGAAATAATAGATGTAGATATATGATGCAAACTACTAATAATTATAAATAGCAGAATGTAGGCACCCTATATATAGAAATGAGCAAACCAGTGATATTTTAGGGAGCAGGCTAGCAGGCGGGGCCCATTACTTACATCATAGGAGCCTACACAACACAAAACACTGTTGCTGTATGTAGGTTTTATTTTGTTTGTTTTTTATCTCATATTTAGGATATGTACATCCAGTTTTTCCCCCTTTAAATTTCTTGGGGTGGGGCCCAAGAGTGTGGGGCCCTAAGCTATAGCTTGTTTAGCTTATATGCAAATCCAGCACTGGTCATATCTTTTGCTTTAATGAGGCTACAATCTTCTATATGGGGGGTAAGCACCATTGAATTCAGTTGGATTAACCTCTGAGTGATCATGCCTTGGGTTGTGCTGAGAAAAACACGTTCAGGTTTAAAGATTGTTCCAGACTGCGATTCCACATAAATAAGTAAAATTATTTACTGATTTACTGTGTTGCTCGTGGCTGAACATATGCATTATGTTATTAACGCATTTTTAGTCTGTCCTTAATGAAGGCATAGGCACATCAATATAAGCACTGAAATACAATGCTATGCAACAAAGACCTGTTATTATAAGATTAAAAAATACCACTGGATAGCTCATGTGGTTAGAGCATAGTGGCGTGCAGTGACATTTTTCGTCAGGGCCAGAGGCACCAGCTTGTGAGGGCGATGGAGGGGGCAGGGTGACATCGTGCACGTGGCCATCACATCCACACCCACACCCCAAGCTGGGCAAAAGCTTCCTGGGCTTTGGGAATGAGGTGACAGGCTTTAATATTTTAATTTACTCGGGACATTTAAGGGACTAACCTAGTTCCCCTAGTCAACTGACCACATGCTACTGCTGATAACCATGGTTGCAGGTTCAATCCCCGCATGGGACAGCTTCATATTCCTGCATTGTAGGGGGTTGGACTAGATGATACTCATGATCCCTTCCATTGTAGAATTGAAATCTATGAACACGAAGAAAACATGATTAGGACTACAGTACACATGGGACGCAGGTGGTGCTGTGGGTTAAACCACAGAGCCTAGGGCTTGCCGATCAGAAGATCGGCGGTTCGAATCCCCGCGATGGGCTGAGCTCCTATTGCTTGGTCCCAGCTCCTGCCAACCTAGCAGTCTGAAAGCATGTCAAAGTGCAAGTAGATAAATAGGTACCGCTCCGTCGGGAAGGTAAACAGCATTTCCGTGCGCTGCTCTGGTTCGCCAGAAGCTGCTTAGTCATGCTGGCCACAGGACCCGGAAGCCGTACACCGGCTCCCTCGGCCAATAAAGCGAGATGAGCGCCGCAGCCCCAGAGTCGGTCACGACTGGACCTAATGGTCAGGGGTCCCTTTACCTTTACACTGTTGCATTACTCGTATAAACCAAATATGTTCTTCATAGAGTTGACTAGCTGTATTACGACTTAGAAACACCAAGACCCTGATCAAACAGATATGTTTTCAATGCTCAAAGGTATGGTGCGAACCATACCTCTAAGGGGGGCATTCCAAAGGGTGTGTGTGTCACCATGGCCACATAACTAATAACACCTGATGCGGACAGAAGGAAGGACCTCCTTTGAAGATCTCAATGCACGGGGAGGTGCTGATTCAAATATTTAAGTCCCGGCTTATGACACCTAGGGCCCAATCCTGTTCATGTAGCCTCCACTGATTGCAGTGGAGCTTACTCACAAATAAATGTGATTAGGATTGTAGTCTTAACTTCATGTATTTATTTCTGTCCTACCCTACTCCCCAGGAGCTCTGGCTGATATGCAGAGTGTTGTACAATCTCGTCTTCTCAGCACTTCTATGAGGTAGGCTAGACTGAAAGATAGTGGCTACCTAGTGAGCTTCTTGGGTGAGCAGGGAATTGAAGCCAACACTATAGCTATCACGCTACTCTGGCTTTTTATATCACTTTTGTGTTCTTCAGCTACTTTTCTTTTTCAAAATAGTGAAAGGAGGTATTATCCATGTTTTGCAGTTGGGGAAAATGAAGCCAAGGTTTAGTGGTTTCACTTTGTACATGATAGTGACTCTAAAGCTGCAGGTCTATGCATGCTTATTTGAGTAAATGCTCCTGTGTGACTTATGTCTGGATAAACATGCATGAAATTGGATTGCAACCTTGCAAGCCCAAATAATGACACATGGTTCATTGTCAGTAACTTTAAATGAAACAGGAATTAAAAGAAAAGGAGTGTTGTTAATGTATGCCTGGTTCCAAACAATATCTTTCTACCCTTGAGAAAGAGTAGGCAGGCCCTTCTAATTTTTTTCACTATGTACTGGCTAGTTGACTGATGAAAAAATAAAGGATAAATTAAGGATAGAAATGATTCTCACCAGCTATTTGCCCTAATTCCAATAGCTGATACATGCTGAGGTATTTTGGCCAGCAGAATTTGTAAATGTTAAAAAAGTTAGATGCCCCCATAGTGTCTACTCTCCTTTTCTAATTGCTACTGAAATACATCAAAATGGAATAAAGGTATTTCCACTTAAACTTTTCCAATGAGAAATTTGCTGAAGTGGTCTTCCAGCAGGGCACAAAGCACATTTTGTATATAACTGCATATTCTGCGCATTGTGAATGGATATTTAGCTGTTTTTTTATAGACCATTAAAAACAAACCAACCCATAGATCAGTTGTGTACCAATGTGAAGGTGATACAGAATTGCAGTGTGCAGAAAGTAGCAACTCAGAAAATGCCTTTACAAATATCTGCTAACATTTTGCTTATTAATCTAATATTATTCTGTTTATAAAATAGAAGCTGTTTTTGTGGATGTGTTTGCTTCAGTTCTGGAACATAGAACCAGTTGTTTCTTCCTATAGATCTTTAGCAATATGAGCAATCTCAGGGACACATATTCCCCCAAGCTATGTATGTTCTTGGCACATGTTGTACAGATGACCAAATGCTACCACAGTAATAATGGAATACTATGTTGAAATTCTGGTGATGAGCAATCCCAAGGATGGCATTATTAGATTACATATGTCAATGTTGTTAGTCTCCTCCAGTGATGCTGTTGGTTGTGTGAATTACCTAGCCTTCCCAAACTTGAATGGTTTGGTATTCCTGCATTCTTTTCAGGTAATCAGAATGTTACACGAGTAGTTAACTCTGGTCATGTAGCAGATGGAATTTTGACTATTGAATTATGTATCTGTACTTTCTTGTAAGGAAAGCTGACTTCATAGTTTCTCCTCTTGCGAACGAAATCATATTGGAAGGCTTCACTTCAAGGTAGCATTCTGATGGAAATATCCTGAGTTTCTAAGCTGTAGCATTCATGAAGGTAAAACCCAGCTTTGTTACATGCAGTCATGTGCTTAGTGAACCCAAGAGAAGAGGGAAGTGTGTTATTGTTGCTTCTAGGCTCTTGTCAGTAATAGCTATTATCTTGGAGCCTTTTACATCAGTTTCTCAATGAATATATGTGTAGAATATATGTGAAGCTCATGTGATTCTAAGTGATGTATATAATACTTAGTGACTTCAGAAAGTCTAATATGGGGGTGGTAGTGTTTAAATGGTTAATTGAAGATTATTTTGCCTGCAGCAAACTTGGAGGATCTATATTGACAATTACCACCAGAATTTGTATATTGCAAGTTGCATAGAGTTGGAGAGGGGTAAATGTGTTCTATTAGGGATGTCTATTAGGGATGTCTGATAAACAAAATTCTAAAGCCAAGCAGTGTTAGAAACTGGGATAGAATAACTAGGAGCCAAATGTCTTTTGGGACATGAGTTGTGGGCGCCAAAACTAAATGTCTAGTCGCCATGGGGGGGGCAGCAACACTTTTTATATATTATTTTGATAGGCATGAACTAATACACAGTTCACATAAATGACACATT